TTTGTTGATGTCGTAGTGATTGCCATTGGTAATTTAATATTTTTAGAATTTTTATTCTTTTGACACGATTCGCATTTTTCTATATATTGTCGTACATCCTTCCTCATTCCCTTCCATTGGATTTGTGTTCGTATTCTTTTTAATGTTTTTGTAACGCCTAAGTGACCTCCCAGGAGTGAGTCGTGATATAATTTGATTACATCTATTTTGTCCTGACTACTCATTACGGTTTCGGAATATATTAGTATGTTTACGTGCGTACCCTTGAATATGTACCTATACATAGCTCTTATTTGTGCCCAATTTAATTTATCTTTGGTATAGTTTATCTCATTTTTAAATACAGTTAGCTTTTTTAATTTGTTACTTTCGCATAACTGTCTTAGCTTTATTAAAGTGTTATAAATATTTTCGTAAGTAGGTACGTCGCTATCCTTTTCCTTAGTTACTAAACAAATTAATTTGTCTTTTTCTAAATATGCTATATCCCCGATAATGGTATTAATATTGGTTAGGTCAACCTCTCTAGTTATTGTTTGGATTAATTCGTTACCTATTATTTTATCCTTAGGTATATCTATCACTACTATTGAGTCCTTAGGTGCGTTTGCTATTTGTCCGCTTATTTCTTTTATTCGCGTATTTATAATTATTTTAGAATTAAACTGTTCCCAGAATTTATCGTACGTGGTTGTAGTTTCGATTAAGTTTATTTCTTTTATTCTACTTAATGCGTCGGCATTCAAATTAGTTTTACCACTTTTGTATTGAATTTCATAATCGAACTCGTCTAATTTTATGCGCCATCTAAGTAACCTACTGCCTGGGTCTTTGACACTAAATAACCATGTTAATGGCTTATGGTCAGTTATGATTGTAAATTTTCGTCCATAAACGTATGGTCGGAATTGTTTAACACCAAACATAATAGCTACTAGTTCTTTTTCGGTTGTTGAATAATTTATTTCGGCTTTATTGAGTGTACGTGACGCGTATGCGATAGGTAGATCGGCCGGTATAACACCTTGGCTTAGTACGCATCCTACCGCGTAATTACTGGCGTCACACGTAATAATAAATGGTTGATCGAAATTCGGATATTGTAATAGTGGTGCGTTACATAGTATATTTTTTAATTTATTGAAAGCTTCTTGACAATCTGCTGTCCATTTAAATTCTATTCCCTTTCGTAATAGATTTGTTATTGGTTTCGCGATTTTTCCATACTCAGGTACAAAGTTTCTGTAGTAACCTGTTAATCCTAGAAACGATGTTATTTCTTTTACCGTCGTAGGTGTAGGGAATGTTTTAACGCTTTTAATTTTTCGTTCGTCGGGCTGTACCCCTTTTTCAGTTAATTTATGTCCCAAATAGATTACTTCCTTTCTTAAAAATTCACATTTTATAGGTTGTAATTTTAAATTAAGTGTACGTAATCGAGAAAACACCTCTCTAATTCGTTTGTCATGTTCATGTAAATCAGTAGAAAAAATTATAATATCATCTAAATATACTAAACATTTTAAACCGATTAAATTACATAGAACGTTATTCATTAATCGTTGAAACGTAGGAGGACTATTTTTTAAACCCATTGGTAGTTTCGTATATTGCCAATGCCCTATGTCACTACTAAAGGCTGTTTTAACCCGTGACTCTTTATTTAACGAAATTTGATGAAAACCCTGTGCTAAATCTAAAATAGAAAAGTACTTAGACCTACCTAATCGATCTAACACGTCTTGTATTTGTGGTAATGGCATTTTATCTCCTACCGTAATATTATTTAATTTTCGAAAATCTACTACTAAACGAAATTTTGGCTTTCCTGATACATCCATTTTTTTCGGAACTAAAAGTATAGGACTATTCCATGGACTACTGCTAGGTTCTATTATACCGTCGCTTTCCATTTGTTTTATTTGTTTCGTTATTTCGTCCCTTTGACTATGTGGTAACCTATACTGTCTCTGATATATGGGAGGTTCCCCCTCCGGAGTTCTGATTTCATGTTCTATGGACGTGGTGTGGGTTAACCTATCACCCTCTAAATGAAATATGTCCATAAAATCTATACACACTTGCTCAATATTTTCGCGTTCTTCCGAATTTAAGTGTTCGGTACGTAATTCCTTTTTTAACTGTTGTACCCTTTCGGAATAATTTGGCAAGGTTTCACTTTCGGTAGTGTTAATATACATTATCGATTGTTCCCTATATAATTCATAATTTAATTGACTTAATCGCACCGGTCGTATTATTTTTTCCTCATCAGATAAATTTATGACGTTTACTAGCACGTGCCCGTCCTTCACTATGTTTATAACGTTGCCTATGAATACTTGTTCCTGTAGCTCTCCCTTTTGAATAGTTATTACCTCATTATCCTTAACCGTCCCAGTGTCAACACCTACTGCCATTATGTATTCTACACGCGGAGGTATTCTTATATGATTTTCTAATGTTAACGTGTGTGCGCTACACCCGTATGGCATATTTATTGTAGTGTTTTGTAACTGGAAAAATGGTCTACCTAATATACCTGCTATAATGAGTGGCATATCGTTTTTAACTATATAAAACTTTATATTTTCGAATATTTCTGTACCTATTTCTATTGGTATCTCTACTATACCTATGGTGGTTTCTAACATATTACTTATTCCCCTTAAAGAAATCGCTTCACCTGGTACCAACTTCGTATCCGCCGTTAATGCGGATAAACGAATTATATTTACGCTGCTACCTGTATCCACTAAAAATTCCAACGTTTCATTTATAAAATTTACTGACCTACTTTTAATGTGCTGATTTTCCATTGCGACCGTTATTTGTTTTATATCGTATATCTCCCTTAAATCCTTAACCACAGAGGGACCTTCTATTCCTGTGGCCGATAGCCGTTTCCCGAATTGGAGCTTTCTCCTTTTCTACGCCTATCTTCATTTTTCTTTTTATAACATTTATCTATAGTGTGCCCCTGTTTCGAGCAATACGTGCATATCAAATATGCGTTTGCTGTAGGTCTATTCGTACTAGGTTTATTACCCTCATTTCTAGGATTTCCCTTTTTAAACCTACAATCTCTAGCATAATGCCCGTATTTTCCGCATATATGACAATTACCTTTATTGTACTTTTGCGCTTCCCCTCTAGTCCTATTATTAAAATGATTATTGGACCTTACTTCGCTTGGGGTTATATTTTTATCTTCAATTATTGCAATTTGTATTGCCTGTTCTAATGTGGAGGGATTTTTACTTTTTACCATTACTTTTATTCTATCGGATATCCCTTCCAAAAATACTAACAAGGCCTGCTCTCTTATATTATTCTGAACAGCTAATGCGTCGCTTGCATTTTTACCTTGTGTGCTACCTTCTGATACGGCCTGCACTAAATTACGTAATCTATTAACGTATTCTATTAATGTTTCTTTATATCGCTGTTTCGCGCTAAACAATTCTATTTGCAGATACGCTGCATTTTTGGGTTTATCATATGTATTTTTTAATAACGTTTTCAACATATCCCAACTAGTAATATTTTCGTATTTTATTACCTCGTAAGCTAAACCCTTTATTCGATTTAGGATTGTTCTTAACATTATGTCCTGATTAGCCACCGGAGTTATATCTACTACTAACTCGCATGCATTTATAAAGAATACTAATTTTTCATCTATACCCCCACTAAATTCGGGTACCATTCTTATTACATGCTCTACAGTTTTATCTATACTAACTGCATAATTCGTGGTATTAGTCGCGTCCGACCCACTGTTGCTATTACCTCCCGTCATACTAACTGGTGATCCAAATACCACACTAAATATATGACTTTTAGAAAGGTCGTCTATTTCAAAACTATCGTCTAACGTTATGTTTAAACTACTACGTTTTGTTGGACTATCTGACATAAGTTACGCTTACCAACTATTGTACATTACTGATTTTTTCATTGAATTGATGTCGACACTCCTAGAAACTCGCTGGTCCACGGCAGATGTTGAATTCTTTCTTGAGAAGTTGATCAGGCCTCCTTTGATTGAATTCGGGTAGGAATCTTCGTCGTGTTGATACGATGTATGTGAAGATCCCTGGTTTCGGCACCAAATTTTTCCTGTTGCGAACCAGATGTGGAGTTCGGTTGACAAGGTCGAATCAAATGAAGTAACACGTAGTCAAATTAATTATTATTATAAATTTATTGACCAAAGGTTAGTGGTTAATACTTTTAAAGCACTCAGAGTAATGTTACAACTTAAGACAAATATCTCTAGCATGAATACTGTCAACTAGTCGTCACGCAGAAATAGTGTGTCCGGTCTCCCTGCTGGGGAGCCTTTATATAGTAGACAGCAGTCAGATTACATAGTCCTTTACAAGGTCCCACTTAAGTATTCGCTATGGCTCCTCTAGTACTTTAGAAACTAACTTTTCCTTGTGGCACTCGTTAATAGTAATTAATATATTGTGCCACGTACACCACGCGTAATACTGTAGTAATCATATTATATTATTGTGTGGTCCTAGCCTTGGCTATTGCAACACATGCTTCTTTTGTCATGATCGCATGTTATAAATATGGTTTAACCTGGAGTAGCATACATCCAGTCATTTTTGAACTTTAATTTGTGAAATAGATTTGTTTATAACTTTACATGCATTATCTCGCAACTCTCCGGAACTTCCTTTGGATCTTGAAGTAGAAGTACCTCACATATGGGGCGTACACTTCTAGGATGTAAAGGATATATTTCAGGACACTTGAGGAAATCACTGGCATGTTTACATTGACTTCTATCGATTTCGGCATAGGTGGAATACAATTCTTTTGACTTACTTATAGCTAAATACTTATGATTAGGTTTTACATATAAACAATTATTTTGGTCACAATTTGGTATAGGTTGTGAGAGTGCAAAACGCAAATTGTTTTTTGGTATAATATATGATGGTTTTTTATTCTTACGTTTACTAAAACAGTATAGTTTTATAATGTTTTACAATTTATTTTTTTGTTTACTTTGCAAAAGCAGTGATGCTGATCCGATGTGGCACGATGATGGTTTTTTTGTCTTTGTCAAATAAATGTTGAACAAATACTGACGGATGCGTTGGCGTGTGTCACAGTAACAGATAATCAAATGTGATTATCGACGAAGTTACGTAGGTAGCGCGGGTGACGACAACGACAAACAATAATACGAGTTTCGACGATGGCGCGCTGGATGGCAGCGGCAATGCAAACTGCACAAGACATTTACTAGTTGCGACTGTGGCGCGCTCGAGATAGCGGCGGCAACAGTGACAGAAACGACGTTGACCGGTTGCGGTGGTGGCGCGTGATGGCGACAGCGGTTATACGACAAAATATCTCCATTAAAAATATCTCTACCAAAATATCTCCAGTATAAAATATCTCCGTCAAAATGATCTCCAATACAAAATATCTCCCGATTTATGCCATAGCTATCTGATAGAGAAAATGTTATTGACGCTGATAGTGAGTGTACTTTGTACTTCCCTAAAAAACAGTTTTTGGTTGGATTTTGTCAGGGCATATAACTTCTACAAACCCAATGCACTGTTTGTCGGCAACAGCAAGCACACTCGATCCAATCCAAAGGCAAGTTCAAAAATTCTGGGAGCTAGAAGAGGTTATACGGTCGTCGCCAGTTCAAGGGTTTTCAACGGAAATAAAAAGATGTGAAGAACATTTTCTAAAAACCTATCGGAGAGAGGAGAATGGTCGTTTCACATTAGAATTACCGTTTAAAGAAAATGTAAGGCAGCTGGGAGAATCTCGAGTGATGGCGGAAATACGGTTTTATACGATGGAACAAAAAATTGATAAAAATAAATATAAATCGGGAGATATTTTGTATTGGAGATCATTTTGACGGAGATATTTTATACTGGAGATATTTTAGTAGAGATATTTTGACGGAGATATTTTTAATGGAGATATTTTGACGGGTCACCGCGACAGCGACGGTGACGCACGGACAATGATCCGCTGCTGTTGGGCACCGGTAGGCGGGTACCGATTTTGGAGACAATGATTTATAAAAGTCGCAAAGGTTGTAAGATTTGTGATAAGGATTAGTGATATTTATTGTAGATAAGGCTAGACGTTTGGGCGGGAATGTTAAAAGTTTGAGGGTCTAGCAATCCGTCACAAACGTTGTAAATGGATAGGCTGGATATGGTCTCCAGGATCACCTATATAGAGTATACCTGCACATAGAGTGGTATGTGCCGTAGCATGACGGTGCTTTATCTGATGTAAAAAGTGTAAAGTCGAAAACCGTGTTGAAGTTTCTAGCAAGTCAGCCATCTCAAGTCAAAATCTATTAACTTTCAAGTCAGCCACTTAGGTAGGCAATCCACGTACGTGAAGTTGGCAACACAACTTTGTGCTACAAACTTCTAACCTCAGCAAATATTTTGCAAATCATTTGCTAAAATTTGCTAAGCAATTTTTAAAATTGGCATACACTATCAATCCATGCAAAAACATTTTTTCTCTAGGTGGGAAAAATTTTACCCAGCCCCACCACATCGTCCTATCGACCTCAAACCTTTTTCATATTTAGCAACTAATTTGCAACTTTAGGCAACCTTTTGGAAAAAATGTGCAATCTCGTGGTTATACCGGAATCGAATTTCCAAGTTGGACGTTCGTGAAGTTAAGTCCCAATATTTTGAAACATCACCAATTCTACCGAAAATATGATTTTCCGGTGGAAGGGGTCCGTGAAGTTGACCGCACAATGTCAACATTTTGGCTCCAAATTATGTAAATAATTTGTAAGTATTTGTGAACACGAATTAAGAATTTGTAAGTCATCCCTTCCTTATTTTTTCCCAAAAAGAAGTTGGTCAAAAATTAATAAAAAAGGCTAGTTAAATTTAAAAAATATCTTAATAGGATAAACATTTTAAATAGAATAAAAAATCAGCTAAATAAAAATTTATATCAAATAAAATGTAATTTCAATAAAAAAAGGTTAGTTAAATTAAAAAACCCTAGTAGAAAAAAAAACATCTAAAAAAACCTAAATAGGACAAAAAGTCAGTTGAATAAAAAATGGATGTTTAATAAACAATCAAATATTAATAAAAGGAGCCAAGTTAAATTAAAAAAAGGTGAGCAAGTGGGTGTCGCTCTGCTGTACAGTAGGTTACAAGTGGGTCATTGTATAATGGATGGTATTAAATTTGAATTCAATGATATAATATCATTGTATAAGAAAAACGATTCTGAGCGGTGACGGTATGTCAGTCTATGTATAAGACATATTATATACATATCTATGGTATTAAACAAAAAATTGACCTATAATAGGTACCTATAATAAATTCCAAACTAATCATATCACAATATCCATTAGATACTTATAACGCGTTATACATCAACAAAAACCGTGATACTATCATAGATATATAATAGTACACTTTAGAAGTTTCAAGTACCCACGAATAATATTATTCAATCACAACAAAATAACTAAAATCGTAATTCTTGGTTTAAATATGAAATTTTGTCTAAATTGAAATTAAAATGTCTGTAAAAAATAAGTGTGTTTATACATTTTTTAGATTTTTTGGTTACAGTATGAATTATTTAAGAGAATCTTTGTTTTAAATTTTCAACTCTTAGTTATAAAAACTGAACATTTTATAATTTTTTAATTCCAACAATTGATAATTTTCGATATTTTGATAAATTTTGTCAAAATTCCAACTTTAAATGCTTATAAAAAAAAATCGTGCCTATGTATTTTTAATATTTTTCAACTGATATTGTAAAAATATATCAGGAGCCTTGTATTAAATTTTTACATTTTTTGGCCCAATAGATAAAACTTTATTGATATTCATAGAAAAAAAACTAAAAAAATTAAAAAATGAAAATATCCGTAAACAGCTCAAAGAGAGTCAAAATATTTTCAAAATTGTATGGTGTATAGGAAATGCTGATATAAACATTCAGTGAAATTTTCATGTATCAACAGTTGTTCGTTTTTGAATTGCAACAAAATAAAGAAATCGCTACATGAGTAATCGAGTGAATATCCAATATTGTAAAAATTCCCGTTTTTCCTTAATTTTTATGTTGTTTTTCCCGGCGCTTGTGAAAACTACTGGAAAATTTATACTTTTGACCCCCCAAAGTACCAACTAGATTCACTTTCCTACCAGAAAAGCTACTGATGAAGAAAATCCAAGCACTTTTACTGTCCTAAAACAACATAAAAACAACAAAAAAATTAAGGAAAAACGGGAATTTTTACGCAAAATTGGTTTTCCAAAAAATCGATTTTGGTTATTGGTGTAACTCTAAAACAAATGAACGTATATACATGAAATTTTCACTGGTTGTTAATATTTGAATTTTCTATACACGATAACATTTTCAAAATATTTTGATTTATTTTGAACTGTTTAGGGACATTTTCATTTTCCATTTTTTTTTAGTTTTTTTTCTAAAAATATCAATAAAATTTATTTGTTGGTTGCGAAAGCTTGAAAATTTAATAGAAGGCTCCTAATATGTTGTTTCAAAGGCAGATGAAAAATATTAAAAATCCTTAGTCACAATTTTTTTTTATAAGCATTTAAAGTTCAAAAATTGACAAAATATGGAAAAATCACGAAAATTAGCAAATTATTTTGAGTTAAGAATTCGTAAAATTTTTCTTTTTAAATCTAAGATTTGAAAATGAAACACAAGATTCCTTATAAGATTATCTACCTTTATCAATAAAAAAATCTCTACCGGACAGTCAAATTAAATTTTTATGAGCGTTTGAAATTCAAATTTTTACAACATTGGATTTTCACTCGATTTCTCATGTAGCGATTTCCTTATTTTGTTGTAATTCAAAAACGAATAACTGTAGATGCATGAAAATTTCACTGAATGTTTATATTAGCATTTCCTATACACCATACAATTTTGAAAATATTTTGACTCTTTTTGAGCTGTTTATGGACATTTACAGCTTTCAATTTTTTTTAGTTTTTTTTTCTATAAATATCAATAAAGTTTTATCTGTTGGGCCAAAAAGTGTAAAAATTTAATACAAGGCTCCTGATATATTGTTACAATAGCAGTTGAAAAATATTAAAAATACATAGGCACAGTTTTTTTTTATAAGCATTTAAAGATCAAATTTTGACAAAATTTATCAAAATCTCGAAAATTATCAATCATTGTAATTAATAAATTATAAAATGTTCAGTTTTTATAGCTAAGGATTGCAAATTCAACACAAAGGTTCTCGTAAATAGTTCATACTGTAACCAAAAAATCTAAAAAATATATGAACACACTTATTTTTTACAGACATTTTAAATTCACATTTGGACGAAATTACATATTAAAAAACCTAGAATAACTATTTTAGTTATTTTGTTGTGATTGAATAATATTATTCGTGGGTACTTGAAACTTCTAAAGTGTACTATTATATATCTATGATAGTATCACGGTTTTTGTTGATGTATAACGTGTTATAAGTATCTAATGGATATTGTGATATGATTAATTTGGAATTTATTATAGGTACCTATTATAGGTCAATTTTTTGTTTAATACCATAGATATGTATATAATATGTATTATACATAGACTGACATACCGTCACCGCTCAGAATCGTTTTTCTTATACAATGATATTATATCATTGAATTCAAATTTAATATCATCCATTATACAGTGACCCACTTGTAACCTACTGTTCAGCAGAGCGACACCCACTTGCCCACCTTTTTTTTTTATATTTTTATTTATATTTTTGTGTCTGTCATCACGTTTTAGGACAGTAAAAGTGCTTGGATTTTCTTCATCAGTACCTTTTCTGATAGGAAAGTGAATCTAGTTGGTACTTTGGGGGGGTCAAAAGTAAACATTTCCCAGTAGTTTTCACAAGCGCCGGGAAAAACAACATAAAAATTAAGGAAAAACGGGAATTTTTACGCAAAATTGGTTTTCCAAAAAATCGATTTTGGTTATTGGTGTAACTCTAAAACAAATGAACGTATATACATGAAATTTTCACTGGTTGTTAATATTTGAATTTTCTATACACGATAACATTTTCAAAATATTTTGATTTATTTTGAACTGTTTAGGGACATTTTCATTTTCCATTTTTTTTTAGTTTTTTTTCTAAAAATATCAATAAAATTTTATTTGTTGGTTGCGAAAGCTTGAAAATTTAATAGAAGGCTCCTAATATGTTGTTTCAAAGGCAGATGAAAAATATTAAAAATCCTTAGTCACAATTTTTTTTTATAAGCATTTAAAGTTCAAAAATTGACAAAATATGGAAAAATCACGAAAATTAGCAAATTATTTTGAGTTAAGAATTCGTAAAAATTTTTCTTTTTAAATCTAAGATTTGAAAATGAAACACAAGATTCCTTATAAGATTATCTACCTTTATCAATAAAAAAATCTCTACCGGACAGTCAAATTAAATTTTTATGAGCGTTTGAAATTCAAATTTTTACAACATTGGATTTTCACTCGATTTCTCATGTAGCGATTTCCTTATTTTGTTGTAATTCAAAAACGAATAACTGTAGATGCATGAAAATTTCACTGAATGTTTATATTAGCATTTCCTATACACCATACAATTTTGAAAATATTTTGACTCTTTTTGAGCTGTTTATGGACATTTACAGCTTTCAATTTTTTTTAGTTTTTTTTTCTATAAATATCAATAAAGTTTTATCTGTTGGGCCAAAAAGTGTAAAAATTTAATACAAGGCTCCTGATATATTGTTACAATAGCAGTTGAAAAATATTAAAAATACATAGGCACAGTTTTTTTTTATAAGCATTTAAAGATCAAATTTTGACAAAATTTATCAAAATCTCGAAAATTATCAATCATTGTAATTAATAAATTATAAAATGTTCAGTTTTTATAGCTAAGGATTGCAAATTCAACACAAAGGTTCTCGTAAATAGTTCATACTGTAACCAAAAAATCTAAAAAATATATGAACACACTTATTTTTTACAGACATTTTAAATTCACATTTGGACGAAATTACATATTAAAAAACCTAGAATAACTATTTTAGTTATTTTGTTGTGATTGAATAATATTATTCGTGGGTACTTGAAACTTCTAAAGTGTACTATTATATATTTATATATCTATGATAGTATCACGGTTTTTGTTGATGTATAACGTGTTATAAGTATCTAATGGATATTGTGATATGATTAATTTGGAATTTATTATAGGTACCTATTATAGGTCAATTTTTTGTTTAATACCATAGATATGTATATAATATGTCTTATACATAGACTGACATACCGTCACCGCTCAGAATCGTTTTTCTTATACAATGATATTATATCATTGAATTCAAATTTAATATCATCCATTATACAGTGACCCACTTGTAACCTACTGTACAGCAGAGCGACACCCACTTGCCCACCTTTTTTTTTTAATTTTTATATTTTTTTTTTATTTAACTGCTTTTTAATATGATTTAGATTTTATTTATTCAACTATTATTTTTTTTTTTATATTTTTTATTAAACTAGGGTTTCTATTTCAAATACGATTTTTTATCCCTGTCAAATTTTAGATTCTGAGCGAAGCGATGAATGTATTGGTTTTACAATGATGTGTGTTTTTATATTTTTTTATTTGTTTTTGGGTCTGTCATCACGTTTTAGGACAGTAAAAGTGCTTGGATTTTCTTCATCAGTAGCTTATCTGATAGGAAAGTGAATCTAGTTGGTACTTTGGGGGGTCAAAAGTAAAAATTTCTCAGAAGTTTTCACAAGCAACACAATAATTAGAAGGGCTATATTTTGTCGGAAAATATTTTGTCGGAATTGTATTTTGTCTGAAAGTAGTTTGTCGGAACCGTATATTATCGGAACTATATTTTGTCGGAAAAATAATGCATCGGAAAGTATTTTGTCGGAATTGTATTTTGTCGGAAAAATAATTCGTCTGAAAATATTTTTTCGGAACCGTATGTTGTTGTAAAAATATTTCGTCGGAAAATTTTTTTTCAGAAAAATAATTTCTCCGAAAATATTTTGTCGGAACCGTATTTTTTCGGAAAAGTATTTTATCAGAAATGTATTTTGGCGGAAACGTATTTCGTCAGAACCATAATTTGTCGGAAAAATAATTCATCGGAAAGTATTTTGTCGGAAAATAATTCACCGGAAAATATTTTGTTGGACCCGTATGTTTTAGGAAAAATATTTTGTCGGAAAAATAATTCATCGGAAAATATTTTGTCGGAACCGTATTTTGTCGGAAAGATTTAAGGCAGTGATTCCCGAAGTGGGTGGTACCTTGTGGACTTTTTAATTTGGGGGGGGGGGCGTTTGTTTTATTAGATTTAAGAATTTAATAAATTAAAAAATCGGGGGGGGGGGGGAGTGTGAGATTTTTGAAAATCTAAAAGAGGCGTTGAGTAAAAAAAGGTTGGGAATCACTGATTTATGGCATACGTGTTTCCTTCAACACCATATTTTTTATATATTGAGATGTAAAAAATGAATACGATAATATTATATTGTTTGACATTTTAGATTCTAAGCGGAGCGAGGATCTAGTAGTTTTACAATGGTGTTTATTTATTTTTATTTTTTATATATCCTGTATACAAAACTTCTACCAGGAAAAGTACTGAAAAATTACGAAAAACCGCTTAAAATGGGATTTTAATTTCTAACAATTTGTTTATCACCGTAGCAACGAATAAAAAAGCGGGTAAGTGGATGTCGTTCTGCTGTATAGTAGGTTACAAGTGGGTCATTGTATAATGGATTGTATTAAACTTGAATTCAATGATATAATATCATTGTATAAGAAAAACGATTCTGAGCTGAGACGGTTTGTCAGTCTGGATATTTTATATAGTTATTATTTATTATATCATGTAAGTTGAATTAATATTATAATTTTTTATTCGTTTCTATGGTGATAAACAAAGCGTTAGAAATTAAAATCCGATTTTAAATGGTTTTTCGTAATTTTTCGGTGGTTTTTTCCGTGGCATTATATAACTATTGAGAAAATCGAAAAATGACCTCTCTAAAGTACCATCTTGGTCCAATTTGCTAAAAGATAAGGTACTATATGTTGAAATCAAAGCACTCCTTCTGGTAGAAATTTTGTATACAGGATATAAAAAAAAAAATAAACAAACACCATTGTAAAACCACTAGCTTCCTCGCTCCGCTCAGAATCTAAAATTATAATACTATAATATTAATTCAACTTAAAGGTTATAATAAATAATAAAAATTAAAAAAATCCTGACTGATAAACCGTCCCCGCTCTGAATCGTTTTTCTTATACAATGATATTACAACATTGAATTCAAGTTTAATACAATCCATTATACATTGAACCATTTGTAACCTACTGTACAGTAGAGCGACATCCACTTACCCGCTTTTTTAAAAATAATATTAAAAATCTTATGGATTTTGAGCGACAAAATAGAATAGTAGGTATGTAGTTGTGTGTTCAGTGTTCACAGTACGTTCGGTTTTTTTCTCAACGGTAATCACACCATACAATATGTACAAGGGGGAATGTCCCAATCAGAGGACACTAGTAAATAAAAATAAAGATTTGTAATTATTAAACTTATTATAATAAATTATCAGATAGAAGAAGTACGAATATGAATAGTTTTTTTTTTATTATAGGGGGCAATGCCCCCCGCCGCGATAATGTTGTGAATGAAACGGGGTAGTGGTCTTGTAACATTTTTGAGTGTTGACCAGACTATGAAAAATGTCAGTCGGCGCCACTTACCTACGGGCTACGAAACATAAAAATAAAAAAAAACAATCTATGTTCATTGAAGTGGTATAAAAAAGTTTTATTCCATTTACTTTACATCACAATCGGGAATACATTTTACTTATATAAAAACATTTTTAAATGTTATGATATGCGTTTCAAAGAATTTAGAGATTTAATTATAAAAAATTTTTTGCAAATTTCACCTACTGTAACTGCAACTGATTTATTCCATCTAAAAAATCAAAAACATCGCAAACAACCAAATGAAGCACCAGACGATAAACATTATCAAGAACCTATCCCAGTACCTGAAAACTTCAAAAGAAGCAAGTATTTTAAAAATTGCAAGCAATGTACTAAAAATAAAACAAGAAAACAAACACAATTGCAGTGCAAAGAATGTACAGTACCACTCTGCGCAGGTAAATGTTTCGAAAGTTGGCATAAGGAGTAAAGACAAAATAATAGAATAGTAATTAAATAAAAAACAATTTAGTTTACGTATTAATATTGATAAAGAAAGTAATATCCCTAGTAGCACCAGGACTCCTACCGTAGAGTAAATTAGTGTCCTGTTCAGGACTCCAAAACGGGTAATAAAAAGGATACTGCAAGGAGTCCTCTTTAGTCCCATGAATGTCCCTGTCTGGAGTATAGATAAGCTAACAAATGACACATAACCAGGAGTCCAATAGAGTCCTATTTATGTCCCACTAAGGACTCCTTCACCAATGGTAATAGGATATCGATAGGAGTCCTCTTCAAGTTCTTAAAGAACCCCTGAAAAAGCAATTAATTGGACATTAATATTAAGTATTTACGTATGAAAATAATATATAATGTAGTTGCTGATCCCGTGCACTTTGTTGTCAGTAAAAAATTTCAACTTTTATAATAGTTCAAACTTTGTTAAAATCGTTATTTAATATTCTGTGCATAATGATGTTCAAAACTTAAACAATTAATTTTAAATAATTGCTGCTAGCTTAAATAAAGAAGCAGTGATGATTTGAATAGCTGTTATTCCAACCTAAAATAAATGATTTTATCTATCATCTAAACCTTCCTTGAATCGTAAAATACTAATTTATACCATTATTATATTACAATTGGAACCATCTAAAAACAAAAAAAGACTATAGAAAAATCCCATCGAAAACACCTTTCAGTTTTTCCCGAATTTTCAAATTTTCTTTCCATATAAACTTCATTCTGAAAATTACGAATATTTAAACAAAAAAAAAAGCCTAATCTGTCTTCACAGTTCACATCCTCGATTGATGCTCTTACCAACGAACATTTTTCTATTTTTATTAGATACATCGAGATTATAAGGCAACCACATCAAATATTCTATAATAATTTATTGTATTTGATAGAAATTGGTAAAAATGGCCACTTGAAATTATTTTTGTCAGTTTTTTTTTACAAAGAAATCATCTTACCAAGACTGATATATAATATTATAATTTATATACATCCATTTATTTAAAAACAAGTGCTAAATTCAAAAAATGTTATGTTTATAAACATACAATTGGTCCAACCATTAGTTTATAAATTAATAAAAATAAAAATATACCTTTTCAATAATAGTAAATCATAATTTTTAATGATAAGAGCAGTTTAGAATATTTCTAAAATAAATTACTTTTACAACAATATCTGTTTTGTTTTATGTGAAACCATATTAAATTACATATTATATTTTATAAACAATACATTTAGGTAGGAATAGTGAAATTTTAATTTACAGATTTAATTTATTTCTTGATAAAATAAATGCTGTTTACAAAATTTAAAATAGTAAATAGCAATAGTTCTTATAAATTTAAATTACATAAGAGGTTTTTCATTTTCCCATGTATGTAAAATAGGAAATACTGCCCAAGAACCATCTGAACTCATTGTTTCATATGCATAAAATTTGCATTTAATATCTTCAACGGGCCACATTTTCAGAATCACACTAAGTGATCCTACTTCATAAATATTAAGAATTGATGATTCTAAACCAGGGATAGAATAAAGGTTTTGTTGAGCTGTATATTCATAGCCTATAATCACATGACAATTATTGTACATCAAAATATTTTCTACTCTAACAATAGTCTTTCCTTCGTTGACACTACAGCAATTGTTTCTTATATCCCCTGCGATAATGATAAAATTATGAAATCTTAATTTTTTATAAGCTGGTGGCTCACAACCGGATAGTACAGGTCCATTTATATTATCACCACTGTATATTATTTTGTCACATGATGTAATATATTCAAAGTCAAGTGTTGCATTTTTGGTAACTTCTTCTATTCTTCTTGCAATTTGCTGTAGAGGCCGATTAAAATTCCGGACTAATTTTTTAATTTGCATCATAAAATTTTCAAATTTAAAGCAACTGAAATTGTCCAATATTCCAAATTTTTCTGCATCATCACTTAAATGTAGTAAGCTATGAAAATTATGGCTTATCATATGGCTCCCATATATAAATTTAAATGTAGTCAGAAAGTGATGAATTAGTTTCCTAGCATATTCCAGATGAAAAGTAATCAAAAATGGGGAAGAAAGTATGGTAATGGCAACATGTAATGTTAAGAAATTATTGTACTTTTCATTAGAAAGACAACGTTTTAAAACAAAGACACCTGTGTATAACAAAATTTGCCTAAACTCTGTCGCTTTAAACTGCATATAATATTTGAGAGATCTAGGTTTTCTTTGAAACTCTTGAGGAGTATTGTTTCTGATTCCAAGCAACTTGAAGGATACGAGTTTTCTAAACCTCAATGGAACACGATGGCGCAAGTCCCCAGCCCACCATATACTTATAAGTTTTTTAACTATGCCCAAGCATAAAAGATGTTGGTAGTCCAAAGGAACATTTGTAACCATTCCAAAACCAATTATGTTTTCCAAAGGACTTTGTATTAATATTCCGTTCTGATCTTTTGAGTGGTATTCATAATCAATATGTTCTTTAAAACTTTGGTCTGTGCGTTTTTCACCAATGATGACTGGAAAGCATGTGCGTCTCTCTTTATGATAACCTCTAACATTGCATTTAGTACAACTGTTATAACCACTATGTCCTTTTATACAAAGCATAGATGCTTTAGCAGGAACATCAGCACAAAAACAATGTACTCTGACCGCCAAACTCTTTTCCTCATATGTAAACCCATTTAGAATTAGGTTATTAACTTCTTTAATAAAATCTTCTAAGTAAGCATAAATATCTGTAGGCTTTTCGACTTGACTATGATATATGCCAATGACAAATACGTAGTTCACTTTGAAAATTGAACCTAAAATTGGCCAGATTTCATTGTATGATGAATGACTTAATGGTAAGCCATCGATGTTGAACATTAAGTTGATTGATTCATTTTCTAAATGATAACTTTTAGACTTCTCTAAAAAAGTAAATAATCCTAATTCCAGTCCATAGTGCCAATAACTACCTTGTGCTCCAACTGATTTAATGTAAGTAGTTCTGGGAGTTTTTAACAATGTTCGCGACGATGAAGGAAGATAATCATGACCACCATGTCTTTTGAGTATTTTCAGCAAACCATCCATAGCTTTTAAAGTAATATTTTCTTTGGTAGCCCAGGATGCTAGGTGTAATTTGAAAATATTTGACACGTTTTGGGGTTCAATATCTGATGTGTAACATAAAGATTCATCTGAAAGTGAAAAAAAATATATACAGGTAAAATTTAAAAGTAAATTTAATTTCTACTGTCAAAATTAAAAGAAAAAAATTATTAAACATGACGTATAAAACCAAAATATCTAAATATATATACAATATACATATATGTATATATATATTGTACTAGGTAACCTAACCTTACATTTTACTGTAAATTATATTATAGCGGATGACTGTTTTGAACATTTTATTTTTTTATTAATCTAAATCAAAATGTTAATGAGTAGTTCTTGAGTTATTAAAATGTTTATACCAAAAATAATAGACCTTGATAAACTTAATTATAATATATATTAAATGTATTATGTATGAACTTAAATTAAATTACAACAAAAAGTATTCTTACTTGGTGATATAGCAAGTTGAGATGAAGATGGTGGTACAATTTCAATTCCGGCATCATTATAAAACTGATCTAATTCCTACATATTATATATAAAAGAAAAATAGTTTTTACTCACACGTAAGCATATGCTCAAACATATAAACAAGAGAAATATTATTATAACATACACGTGTATAATTAATTTCCCTGGATTGATTGATTTCTTTCTCTAAAGAAAACGGAACTTCTTCATGAATGACATCATTTTCAATAAACATTTGGTGTTGTTCAGTAAAAGTATCATTTGGACTTTTCTTAAAACATGAGCATCAGTAATAAAAAAGGTGTATTAATAAATTACTTAAAATTACAAGTACTATACAATAAAATTGAAACAAATAACAAAAGTCCAAGATAAATTAATAATTGGTAGCAGCTATATAGTTATTAGTTAGATACATGATTTCCAATGTCTATCTTAGCTTTTCAATCTATGATCCTTAAAAATGTTAAATGAAAAAGGAAAACTGAACCTTCTCAAAGTTATCTATGTTCATTACATTATTTTGAAGATATTAGATACGATCTTAGCATTGTATGCAGTAATTGGATATAAGAAAAAAAATGCCAATCTATACTTTTTATTCCATATTAATTTAAATATGTTGAAATACTACACATTTCTGGTTATATTAAAATATATTAAAGGTTTATAATACCAAAATACTATTTTAAATTACATCTAAACTAACCTACTTAAAAAATTATACCTATTATCAACATTTTTAATAATCAAGATAATTACTTCAATCTGGGCGATATTGTAATTTAATTGATTTCGAATCAATCTTCGTCGATGGCCAGATGTCATTAATGATAATGGTTTTTTTGGCCTAGGATGTAAGCAGAAGACTTATTATACATTATTATTACATGTTATAAATATATTTATTTTTAAATGGTCATGCAATATTGAGAAACATGGAAATAGGACGTCGATGCGTACTTAGTACTTAGGCACTTACATTTTAGTTTTTAATTTTTAAATCAAATAGGTATGAACTTCAAAACAAACAATAATTCAAATTTGTTTATAATATAATACCTATTAAAATTATATTATAAACTTAAAATTTTAAATACAAATTGACAATTGCCAAACAGTTTACAGAGTATCCTATAAGTACCTATCAAACATTAATTATCTATTGAATATTATTGTAAATTATCGATAAAAAAATTGGAAATATCTACTATGAAATACGTAACAATAATTAATCTTCGTTCAACCGACATTCGAGTTTCGACAATCGACAATCACTAATTTCAAATTTCAACCGGATAAATTGAATGCTTTATCAAACTATCATAGTATCATGAGCCAGTAAGGTTTCACGTTTCATTTATTACT